CGGTGGTCTGCAGCTGGCTTGGAACCGGCGACATGCCTCCGTAGCACACCATCTTGGTGTCACCCAGCGCACACATGGAGTGGAAATAGCGCGGCGGTGGTACATCTCCAGTTGTCTCGAGCTTTGTCCAGTGGCGACGGATGAGGTCTAGTTCGTACATGTCGGAGGTAAGGGGGGCAGGGCGGCTGCGAGACAGGATCCGACCGCCGAAGACGTACAGCTTGTCTCCCAGGATGGTCGTCGTGGCACCCACGAGCGGGTGAGGCTCTCGCCCTGTGGTCCGATGGACGTTGCACATGAGTCCTGAGAGATGTGAGGAGGCCTGCATCGATGAGCCCGGCTGTCGAGGCTGACCCTGTGCAGGCGTGGCTGCACCATTACTTCGGGAAATCGCCTCCCGTTGTGATGGCTCCTCACCGCCGTTGTCTCTCCCCGCTCCGTCGGCCCTCATCGCGGCCATGCTGCCGTTGACGTCGTGCCCATATTGGTCTTGACCACCGTAGAGCTGCCCGGCGGCAGCTGGATCGTTTGGATCCATGTCTGTAGGATGCAGGATTGCTTGCAAGTCGTCGATATTCTCGTATTGCGACTGGGCGTCCTCCGGGATTGGAGCAGGATATGAGGGTGGCTCTGGTAGAGGCTTATCGAGAGTCGTCGGTGGCACGTTTAGAATTTTCGCATCACGGCCCGTCGAGGGGGGTGTGTCCCTGGCGTGATCTACGGGGCTCGCCTCGGGCCTCGACCCGATGTTTCTGAGGTTGAGAAGAGAAGTGCTTCGTGCGAGCCTGCCGGCCTTGGGGAGCTTCTTGAAGGAGCGATAAACGCCGGAAAGAATATCGGGGGTGTAGCGCCCGGTGATCGGGGACGTCGTCTGGTTGAAGTGGTCTTGTTCGGTGTCAGAGTCGGACAGTCGAGAGAGGGGGGGGTCTGTGGAGGTTTTCTGGGCACCGGTCAGTTCTGACATGGTCAAAAGCGGCGAGCTGATATAGCCCGTAGCTCAGTAGCACCAACGACACGCAACCCAAAAAAAATGAAAGAGGGGTGGAACGAAGAGAAGAAGAGCAGAAGAGAAGTAGAAGAGGCAAGAAGTAAAGTGAGTGAAAAAAAGAATTAATCGACCATGCCAATGGAAATTAGTAAAGCAGGACGAGAGTACAAAGGGAGCAGGGCTCAAGGAGGCAAGTGAGAAGGAAAGCTGTCAAAGACCAGTCATCCTCGAGACATCGCTGGACCACATACAGCACTTGCTACAACTTGCGGCAATGAAGCAGAGTCACTCAGTATTGTATGGGGGGGTTGGGCGGAGGATGGATCGCCAGACTTGCCAGATAGAAGAATGGAATCCAATTCAATTGAGCCAGGGGGGGCGGAGTGAGGAACATCCACAGATCAATATTCTCGGATAGTACCTCCACCAGGCTGACAAGGGGTTTAGGACGGAGAGCTTGATTGTCGGGGGTGGTTTCAAGTAGAGGTGACCGTCTGCTCGTCGGCCATTGACATCACTGGGATCAGGGGAAGAGGGACCTGAAGAACCTCAGACGAGCCAGGACCGTTCGCCAGGGTTTGGAAAACGTGTGTCCCCAGCCAAGAGGAGCGCCGTGAAGCCAGAGCACTTGCAGGAAAGGGAAAGAAGGAGGGAAACGAAACGGGCAGAGGGGCCAGAAGAGGAGGGATCCGTCGCCGGGTTGGGGTGATTGGAGGGGTGCTTCATTCTCTCTCTCCATCCGGCGGTGCGACCTGAATGGCGTTGTTTGAATGTACGTACATAGTGTCAGGCCGTCAGCCGAATGGACCCGGTAGGATCGCAGTGAGGTATCGCGTACCTCGACCTGAGGTTGAAAGGAGCGGGCTCGGCGAGGGGAGTGCGCGGAGCGAACCGACGTCGTGGTTGTCGCACGCGGGCGGGCGTGATGAGGCGGCGGTAGCGGTAGCGGAGGGGAGGTGGTGGAGGACGAGCAGCAAGGACGAGACACAGAGGTCTGCAGAGGCTTCGGAGGGGTCGTGATACATTCGTCGATCTGGCGGGCTCACTTCCACATCGACCCTGGTAACGGTGAGCTGGGTGGACAGAGGGTTGTTGGGACCATGAATTGGACTCCTCCAGAGCCACACAAAACGCTACCTCTCCTACTAGGAAGGCTGACGGAAGGCGGTGGGTGGATAAGCGCGACGGCTGCTGGATGGGCCTGGTGTGGGGAGACAAAACAAGGAGAGGATGTAATAGTATGGAGCCTAGAGCTGGGCAGGGAAGCCAGCAGGAGCAGGGGTCGGCGGTCGTTGGGACGGACAGGTAGGTCTTGTATTAGTAGAGGATGTGAGATGCGCAATTACCGTGCCGCCGTGGTGAATCCCGCGCGTACGAGAGGGAGAGGGAGACTGATGATTACCAGGCGTCGTCGTCGCCGCAGAGGGGAAGATGTCGACAGGAATTCCATCAAGCTGGCGGGACGGGGCTTGTCTTCCACTCCCAAGGTGGTACCAATGACAGCAGCCTTGGGAGAGGGCGAGACGCCGCTAGCCCGGACGAGCTAGAAGAGGAGGGTTGCGGCATGGAGGCAACCAACAGGAGGAGTACATGACTGGATGGAGTTTTGCAAAATCCATCCATCCTTATGCCTGCTGCCGGTACCCAGAGGTGAGGTAGCTTTAGGCGGTAAGTGGCAGCAGTGGAGGTTCCTAACCGCTAGGCAGGCGGCTAGGCTGCCAGAGCTGCCTCGGACGGGCACAGCATCGCCAAATGGCCGCAAACGAACATGCCTTGTGCAATTAGGTGCGCATGTAGCTGCTACGACACTCTACACAGGCGGCACATGCCTGTCTGCCTATTACTTACCTGCCGTCCCAACCTTAGTACCTGCCTGGCGCAAGGTGTACTCTGCGTCGAGGCCCAGAAGCCCCAGAAGCATTCCCGCGAACTAACAGCGACGGGACCGAGTATAAAAAAATACACCGGCCCCTCAGTGATGGAAGCCCGCTGAAGTCCACTGGGCTGTCTGTCAGTGGGTGCCACCCAGTCCCGGACACTGATGGTCCAGCGACTCCAGGCCCCATTAGCGCTCGCGGGTGGGACCTGTAACTGTAACTGCAGGAGGGTTCCCGTCCAGGGTAGGAGGGGAGCTTGACCTGATCAGGCAAAGCGTCGGGTGCGTTCATCCCATCGCCCACCAGAATGAACTTTTTCTCTTATCGGCCACCAACCAGCCAAGCCAAGACGGTCTCCTGCCTCGCCCAAGGCTGCCTGAAAGCGCCGCCTCGTACATGTACATGGCCTTGCCAGAGGCCCCCCAAGGATCCCTTGATGGCCTACGGTAGCTGCTGCGGTATGTCATCGGGACCCCTGAGCCTAGGCAGCATGGTATCTGCAGGTCGCTCGCACTAACGGCTGTAACAAGCTTTCCACAGGGGTCGGCGCCAGCTGGTCCAATACACGCACAGCAGAGGAGAGGCCAGCTGCAGCACCAAGCAAGCTCCCACCGGCCGTCCGCGCAGTGCGAGCGGGTGAAGACATCGGGCCAAGCCAGCCAGAAGCGGCGGTACATCAGTTATGGGACTTGCGTATAAACCGTCACTGGTACCATTCACCGTCCCTGCAACATATCTACTTATGTGTGTGTACATATATGTCGGCAACCATGCCGTCCCCCACTTCTGGCCCATTGAGGAGGTGAGCCAGCTACCTCGATGCTCAATATTGCTCCATTGCTGCTACCTCGCTCTCACCAGGCCTGTGATACGACACGCCTTGGGAATGCAGAGCGAGTGGCTATGGGACTGAGGCCAAGACACCCGGAAACCAACAACAGCCATCCAACACACTAACGCCGCTGTTGGTCTCGGCCATTCGGTGCATACACGATATTGCCAAACACCAAGCTTTCGCCATGACGGAACTTGCCATTTGATGCCAATGGCTAGCCATATTACACGGCTTGGACTCATCCCTCAATGCGCCGATGATGACCAAGCATTATTACTATATATATTGGCCCCCAGAAGCCCTGGTCCCCGACTCTACCCACCCGCCCATCCGCAATTCTCTCCGCCTCCAACACCCAGCCTCCTGGGTATGGCACTAGAATTTCATCAAGCGAACTGCCAAACACGGACCATCACCGTCCAGTCGTCGCGTATTCGCTTTCCGACTTCCGCGACACCGCTAACCAGGGGCCAAGGAAATGAGAGCGCCGTTCCACAAGTCGTCTAGAAGAAAGTACCACGTGCATATAACCCACCCAGGTTTTGGCACCTCTCCACAAAACCCAGTTTTGAAAGCAGGACAGGTTCCTGAAGATATTAAACCGCCCGAGCCCAGGTTCGCCGGCAGGGAGGTCGACGACTGTAGATGTAGAGCCAAGAGCCAACGGCTCGGTGTGTGGCCTGGATGGGCTAACTCGCCGCTCGCGTTACACAGTCTGTAAGAGTGCATAGTATGCGTGACTCCGGTTCTAGTACTGGACGAACGAATGCAAGTTCTAGCAAGTTGGGAGAAGACCAGACTTGGTCCCCCCTCGCGCCGTTTGACCTTTTTTGAATCCTCCCCTGGTCCGAAAAGTAAATGTACACCGCCGCGGAGATGCTGCCAAGGTTCCTACGGACCCAGAGGGGTGTTACAATGGATTCTCATTAGCTCTACGCCTTGATGTGGATAATGTAGCAATAAGATCTGAAGTTGATCAGCATCGTAAAGACAGGACTGCTTGTCCATCCATGTAAAATAAGAAACCAGAGACCAGGGCGTGTCCATATGTAGGCTCCTTACCCTACCTACAGATATATTGCTTGGCAAAACATTAACACCAAAATAGCACAAGGGCGGAGAGTCAATCAACGAAACCACCAAGTTCTCCATATAGGACCGGCATCACCTTGAACGAACTGCTTTGCTAGCGTGAGGAGAAGAACTGTCTCCGCTCTCATCAAATACATTAATCAGGGGAGATGTACCGGCTATTACTCTACCTCTCGGAGATAGGGATGCTCCAATGCCTGCTTCGCGCTCAACCGGTCCTAAACTCATCACGGTTAACAAGACACTCAACAACCCCCTCCCAGACCAACATCCTCAAGAGTAAAAAACCCACCTTGTGATCCCACCGCAGAAGCTTATCCAGAAGATCAATCGCATCCTCCTCCGCCAGGTGCCTATTCTCGTCAGTGACAAACTCCAGCCACGGCCGCCCCGCGTGGACCGCGACGTCGTCCACGTCCGCCATCCCCATGTCGTACCGCTCCACGTAGTTGCGCAGCCCGCTCGTGCCCAGCACCCTCGCGATCCGGTCCAGCTGGTCCGCGTTGCTCACCCCGTGGAAGAAGGGCTCCCGCCGGAACGCCACGCCCGCCAGCATCGAGCCGACCTGCCACATGTCCACGCCGTAGTCGTACTCGCCGTGGTGCAGCAGGAGCTCGGGGGCCTTGAAGGCCCGGCCCACGCGCACGGTGTACTCGGTCCGGGGCTCGTAGAACTCGGCTGAGCCCCAGTCGATTAGGAGTAACTGGCGGGAGGAAAGGTGAGTCAGTTGAACTGGGCAGGGAGGTTGCATGCGCATACCCTTCTCTTGGCAGGGTCGAACAGCACGTTGTGCGGTCTGACGTCGCGGTGCATGATGCCCTGGTCGTGTGCGAACTCCAGGGCCTTGAGCAGCTCACGTGTGTAGAACTTGACGTCGGCAGCGCTGAACCGGGGGTACAGCGACCGGAAGTCAACGTGGTCGGCAAGCTCGAAGACGAGGGAGGTTGGCCGGTCCTGCCAGAGACGAGCGGTCAGGAAACGTCGCATCGTCCCAAGAGATCTTCACTTGCTAAGGTGAGGGGCTAGGCCATACCTGGTCGCCCGTGACGATATCAAGAAGCGTAATGATGTTCACCCCGCCGCGCAGGGCCTCGAGGACCTTGATCTCGCGGCGGACGTGGTGGTCCCGGGTGGCCTTGAGCGATTTGATGGCGCATCTGAGACCTTTTCGCACGTTGACCCCCTCGAAGACGTCGGAATATCGCCCGTGTCCTGTGCAATGTACTCCCACGATGAGCTGGGTATGTTCTTGCGGGATAAGCGCTATAAAACACAACGAAACTGTAGCCAACCTATTTTGCGCACAATTTCATAATTGTCTGGGTTGCTGGGCCCGGATTCCGGCAACTGATCCGCCATTTGGATGCGATACTTGCTCAGAGGCCGAGCTTTGGTGTGGATGAGTGAGCTGAGAGTAGCTGCAGGTTATAGTTACATGTGAGAGAATAATCCAAGTGAGCAGCGCTGATCATCGTTTACATAAGCCTCGATGCGAGTCCTGGATGAGCGAGTTATCAACGCAAGTTATCTCCATCAAGCATGGGATAAATACAGCTAAACTGCAGTAGCTGGCTGAGTTGTTAGATCCATTGTATGAATTTCTTCACTGGGAAATTAATAAGTCGCTGGGCTTGTTCACTTTCCAGCAAGCTAGTCTCATTCCAAGGCGAGTATAAGCTGATGATACCCAAAGTAAGCCACAACATGAGTTGCGACAGATACTGAGTACAGAGTACATGAATTGGTTTCCCAGAAGGAGTCAAATATTATCCACAATTTATGAAACTGACGACATCATGAGCTTACAACCTTCTAAGCATTTCCGTTGTAGGCCAGACGATTCTGGCTTCCTCTCGCCTCCTTGACCACGTCCTTGGTACTAAGCTCGATAATCCTAGAAGTAACTTCTTCAGGCGTGGCCAAGCCCTCCAGCCTCTGGAAATACAAGGCGAGTCCTGCCACCGCAGGGGCAGCCATGGACGTCCCCGTGTTGGCTTTGGACGCCGTGTCATCTTGAGAAGAAGCCGCCACAACGTCGGTACCGGGAGCAAAGATGTCCACTGCTGCTCCGTAGTTTGATCCGGAGGGGACGCCTTCTACATTATTTCTCCTCAAGCTGGACTCGACGTTGCCAACGGTGAGACACTCAGGTGTCCGACCTGGAGAACGGGTACTGACATCCACCTATACCATTTAACAGTCAATCAAGGGTCGAGTGTGGGTAAGAAGAAGTACCTTACATTCTCGTTTCCAGCTGCACACACTGGCAGGATGCCCAAGTTATATATGTTCTTGACAGCATTGTCAAGAACCTCCTGGTCGGGTCCGCCTATCATCCTCAGTTAGCAAACAGAGTAGAGACTCATGTATCTTAAATCCCTACCAAGAGACAAGTTGATAACAGACAAATGTTGACGGTTATTAGCCACGATATCGTTAACAGCCCAAGTAATACCATCAATAATCGTCGCGGAGGTTGACTGCACAATAATGATCATTAGCCTTCTCAACATGATCCTCGATCCGTCACACTCGGGGAACATACAGTGCCCACCCCAAACACCTTGACATCAATCACGGTCGCCTTCTTGGCCACACCATACACCTTGCCAGCCAAGATGCTCGCCACGTGGGTTCCATGGCCCGTCTGGTCGCCATTCTCGGACCCGTTCACGGCGTTGTACCCGTGCGAGGCCCTCCCCTCGAACTCCTCATGGCTCCATCGGATGCCGCTGTCGACGACGTAGGCAAACCTCCCCTCGGCAGCCGAATCGTCGTATATATACTCGGTCGAGTTCTCCGCCCGGTGAGAGATGCTGCCCAGGTGCCACTCTACATCAGTCTGCGTGACCAGCGCAGCGGGGTGTACCCATCTGTCAGGCTCGACTTTGAGAACCTCGGGGAGGGCCGCAATCTCCGCGATGGTGGCGCTGTCGAAAGCACCCGCGTAGGCGTTGAAGTCACCAGCAGAGAAGGTCTTCCCGAGTCCAGAGAACAGACCGTCTCGCTGAGACAGACCGCGGCTGTGGAGCTCCCGAACGGCCTGGTGGTGCTCGAGGATAGCGGATGCAGGGATCCCAGGCCTCAGCTGGACGATGAACTGGTTGGGGATGATATCAGCGTCAACCTCGACCGGCGCAGCCTGCACGAGGCTAGCAACAGATGCCACAATGGCAGGCCAGATGGTACCTTTCATCGTATCGGTTTCGTAATTCGACTAACTCTCAAGTATGTGTCCCTGAGATGAGCTTCCCCAGGACACCTTGCCATCCTCTTATACCAAACAGCAGGCGGGATGTCGTCTGGCTCAGCCATGTCGGTCATGGCCCATACAGGACCTTGCCATGGCGATCCAACGGGCCAGTCTCGAGACCTTCCCAATTAGAATGCCAAGCCAGGATTCTGTCGATGCGAGGACGACCTTGATTAAGCTTACAAATTGCCTCTCGGGCTGCATGTAACCATGTCCCTGGTGTGTTAAAGATAGTATTGGAAGGCAACAGGAATCTTCAATCCCTACTCCCTATCTAGGCTGGTAGGACCATGGAAGCAGCGTCAGGTAGAGTAGTTTGTTTTCCACTTACACGGCGAGGCACTGCTTTGCCACGATCCTATGGCTAACACACATCCTCGAGGCCTCAACATCAGATAAAGCTTAATTGCTAGAAGGCGAAAACCCGATCATCAGCTTCCCAGGAAGTCAAAATAGAAGGAGCAAGAGATCGCCAGGAACGGTCTTACGCGAGAACCGTCCACGGCCTGAGTGCCTTTACTCGCCTTTACTCGCTCCCTCAGACATCACAGTATCATCGATCAGTAGAACATTTTGAGTAATTTTAATATTTTTTTTCTCTATTTAGTCTCGTTTACTTCATTCCGTGACACTAAAATTCCTCACCATCCCAAAACCAAACCTCGTGACATTTTTAAATCTTCAGGCCAGTAGGGGGATATATATGAAGCTCGGCACCACGCCCCGCTCTAACACGGCAAGCAGCCTACTGGGCAGGGAGAGGAGTGAAGCGGAGGTAGGGCTTGACGATGCGGAAGTTGGGGAACAGCTTCTTGGCCTCCTCGTTGGAGACGGGGGGCGCGACGATGACGTCGTCGCCGGGGACCCAGTTGATGGGGGTGGTGACGCGGTACTTGTCGCCGGTCTGGAGGGAGTCGATGATGCGGAGGACCTCGGCGGCGTTGCGGCCGGTGGAGGCGGGGTAGGAGAGGATGGTGCGGATCTTCTTCTTGGGGTCGATGAAGAAGACGGAGCGGATGGTGAAGGCGATGCCCTTCTCGTCGACGTTGGTGGCGTCCTGGTGGTCGATCCTGGTTGATATTAGCATCGACTCTGGTCCTGATCTCTCGGGGGTGGACTCAGATCTCTCGGGTAGATCCTGATCTCTTGGGGGACTTACATGTCGTAGGCGAGGGCGACCTGGCGCTGCTTGTCGCCAATGATGGGGAAGCCGACACTGCCGCCGGTGACCTCAGCAATGTCCTTGATCCAGCCGTCGTGGGACTCGATGGTGTTGGCGGAGAGGCCAATCAGCTTGACGCCGCGCTTGGTGAACTCGGGCTCGAGCTTGGCGAAGGCGCCGAGCTCAGTGGTGCAGACGGGGGTGTAGTCCTCGGGGTGGGAGAAGAGGATGACCCAGCTGTCGCCGATGAACTCGTGGAAGTTGATCTTGCCCTTGGTGGTGTCGGCGTCGAAGTTGGGGGCGACGGAGCCCAGGCGGAGAGGAGCAGCAGCCATTGTGAGGGTTTTGGGGATGTGTGAGACTGGGAAGAAGAGCTTGGGGATAGAGAGAGAGAGGAGGGGTATCACAGATATATAGAGAGGAGGAGGGAGAAAGGGGAAACAAAGTTCGACCGGACCGTACCACAGCGGGGGGATTTATACATAAACGGACGGATCACATCATCTCCAGTTATCTGCCCCGTCGAGCAGCTGCTCCTCGGTCGGCGACAGACTCTGGGTCTGATGGAGCAGCTGGAATCGTGGGTACGTATCCAATGGACACCCTCTTCGCGCCCAAAGCTGCCACTTCTCTGTCCATTCCATGTGGCCTCCTCTCGCACTGCCCCCCTCCCGGTCGCGACGGCAGTCGTCGTCGTTGATGTGATATGGCCGTCCCGGGACCCGCCAGCAAATTACGTTTGAGACGCACCGACCGAAGGAACCCCGCGATCTAGCCTGCCCCTCACTAAGAAAACCGAAGGCAACAGCTCGAAAGCAGTCGAGGAGGGGGAGGGGTTGCTGGCCCCCTTGGCGCCAATTGCGTGCTGGTGCCCGCGCCGGATTGGCCAGCCCACGACGCACCTCAGCCATCGCCCTTTGACGCAATTCAACGCGAAATGATGCCCGACCGACAGCCGTGCGATGATGACAGAAGCTTGCCAGGGCGAGGCGCGCATTGGCCAATGTGCCAAGCGCTGGCGACACAGACGTTGGCCCATCATCGCTCCATCGAGACGGGCCACGACTGGATCAGACAGGTCCTCGCCCCAGGCCCATCTCTTCTCGGGCCCCGATGACCGGAAGGGTTTCCAGATGCAGCCCTGATCTGCCCAATCTGCTCACATCACGCAGTCCCGATAACTCTCTGCCTACCTTGTGCTGACAGGGACGGACAGCTCTAGCGTTGCTGGTCATGTCTGTCACGAAAAAGTATATCCAAGATCTGTCCATGCTGTGATTCGGTCGTCTCGTGCGCATTCATTCCACTGCAACCCATTGAGTTTATGTCATTTTGAGCCAATCAACAGGGGCGCCGATCTTTATATAGCCGTCGTAGGGTAGCAGTGCGACGCAGACGTCGCAGAGAGATGCGCACTCTTGGTTCCTCCACGGCGATTAATGAATGGACCATGCGACTCTGATTCCCTGCCCGCGAACAATTGCCTCGTGGGATCGGGGTGTGATTGCGACCGTATCCCTGCATTGCTTGAATCCCGTCAACGTAGCACTCGTCACAGCGCCCTGCAGCGGTCTCTAATTGAAGCATGTAAGCAATACCACCGAGCAGCTGGGAAATCAGCTCATTGACGCTGTGCCCGCAGCGAGAGCCGTGTAAGAGCTGAACTTTGCTGCATAATAGCCCGCAGCAAGTATTGAATGCAGCTGCAATACGACGGGAAATATCTACATTATTTACAATACCTGCAATTTAGGTAGGCATGGGTTGTACAGTCGATGTGACCCGTGCAATCATTCCCCGCCCTCCCTTACGGTCCTCCAAGTAAATACATTGGGATCAGGTGCTGGAACATAGCTTCGAACCACCAAACACACACGAGCTGCCTGTAAACCATCAAAAATGGAAACCAGCAAGCATGATGCTACTGGGAAACGAATTATGCAACAAAAGGAAAGCATTCCCCGCCGGAAATGCAAAAGGATACATTGGCCGACCACGCCAGGAGTCGAACCTGGAATCTCTAGAGTAGGTGCGGGAACCGAAATCTAGCGCCTTAGCCATTAGGCCACGCGGCCAATCGCGTGAATTGGTTAAAAGTTTGTGCGTTAGTCCCGTCTATGGATCCAGCACCATACTCATCCGGGCTCTGCTAGATCCCCGTCCTACCTGGCGAATCACCATGTGCTTGTTTGCTTGGCTTGAGCGGATTTGGAAACTCAGGATATCAATTCATTATACGTCATGTAGGTACCCAACTCCAGGCTATGCTACTAGTCTATATGATGTTCAATGTAGATGCTCTCCTCTTGGGGGTTGGCCTTCCAACATTCAGAAGAACCCCCATGGCATGTCTTGCAAACAACCAGAACAAGGGTACTGGTGGTATCAAAGAAGTAGAACCGCCGGATTAATCCCAATGTCCCTCGGACACATCGTCTGTGCCTGGCGAGGAAACCGATACTTCCAAGTCATCCGCGGGTTTCGCAGCGGGTTCCGGACTGGTGACAGACTGATCACCACCCTCCAACTCAGTCTCACTGTCTTCATGACCAGGCTCTCCCGTGTCGCTAGATGGACCATGGTCGTCTGTATCAACATCATCTTCCGCGGCCGAAAAGTCCAAAGCTTGCCATGATTGGAACATGGAGGGAGGCTGAGGCTCGTCGTCCGGGAGGACAAATGGGCTGCCGCCTATTGAGATGGACCGCCCGAGCCCGAGTTGAGAATAGGGATGTGGGAGGACAAACTCGGGCTCCATATCGATGGGCCCCATCAGAGGTCTGCGGTGCTGCGACACCTGTATCTGGCTCCTACTGGCCCTCTTCAACGTGGGCTTCTCCAGTATAGAAGGTGAAGACGCGACCATCGTAGCCTCAAGGTGAAGAGTAGACAGATTCTCTTCTAGCTTTTCATCGCTGTCTAAACCAGAAGCCAATGTCGAGCGCCGAATCCGCGGCACCTGGAGGCTACCGCCAGAGCGTCGGCGATGCCGCCTGGGACTGCCATTACCATGCCCGGGATGTGACGTACCAAGCGGTTTCTCCATTGATTGTGGATGCTGGGTTCGCAAATTTCCCGAACTGAACCGAAGTCTCCTCAAGTCTGTCTGGCTCTCAGCGAAGACGACGCGGGCGCGGAGCCTATGCGCTGCGTTATCAAGGGCGAGCTCGATTGCACACCGATCGCGGATACGGCTCAGCTTGGGCCAGGTTGCTCGCGCCCCAGCCAAGGCCGAGCGCAGCATGAAGTCGGGTGTTGGGTTCTGTAGGATCTTGGGGACATCTTGGAGGTTCAGCTGGGGGAGGATAGTGATGTCTCCGGAATATTTTTGGCTAAGAATACTGCGGAACTTGGTGACCAAGTTGGGGAATATACCCAGCTCCGAGAGGAAGTGGAGGCGATGTAGGGCTTCATCCTTGGCCAATGCGGTCAAGGTGCTGACCCAGTCAGAGTCGTCACTATCAGTGGATGCCTTGGGTCGTTCGCCTGGTATGAGGTCGGGTGACAGGTGGTCGTCCTTTGTGAGGAAGGGGACCACGTGCGGATTGACCTGAGAAACAATGAAATGGTTCACGTTGAACATCTCAGCAAGCCGAGTCATAGGTAAGTCGTTGTCAACTGAGCCGTCGATCCAACGCTGGGGCGAGGGATTCCACGGCTGGTGCTCGCCAGTTATGGGGTCCTTGACAAGAATCTGTGACGAGTTGAAGAGGACAGGCACGGAGCACGAGGTAGCGACGGCGGACCAGATCAACACATTTGGCGCCGTGACATAGTTGAG